CAAATAATAAATATCATTAACGTAAAAAAAGTTTTCATGTTAATGTTTACTCAGTGTTTGTTCATTGTGGTCAGTTCTCTTCTGTTAGCTAGCAAAACTTGTTTGTTTCTGCCATGATGTTACAATTCTCACCACTGGACAATGATGAAATGAACGTTCGAACTTCCCAGTGGGCGTTCCGGTATTATTCATACCACCCTAGGACAGCAGGATTTATCAAGTCTTTCAGTTTTGCATAAAATGACACTGTTAATAGCCACCCCTGGCCACCCCTTAGCTCCACCCATGCTCACAAAACCATCTCAGATGGCTGGGGAAGCTCCTCAGAGCAGGTGTGTAATCAGGTATGAGTGCAAATAAGACATGAAGGTAATGTAACATAGAGTGAATTCACCTGTTTGATTATTATTTTTTAAAATAAATGTCAGTTTGTGTCAGGTGTGTCACTTTTAGTCACCAAAATGACCCGAACATAGCCTGTTTCACCAGTGTGGCAAAGTAAATTTGTCGGTTTTTCGTGTTCAGTAGAGAAAATTAACCAAGCACTTAAAGTTTCATGATGAAATAGAAAGTATTTAGTATGATATCCACTTTAAACCGGGTCATTTTGACCCGCACAGAGCAGCGTGGCAGAGACAGAGCGTCATCTGGCTTCGGTAACGTCGCAGTGTTGACTTCAGAGTTCTCTCAAGTGTGAGAAGCCGAGCCTCCAGCGGACGCTGATTGGTTGATGAGAATCGAATCCGGAAGGCGATTGGAGAAAGCCACGGCTCGGCGCAGGTGATTGGCCGGCCGTAGTTGCGCGCAGAGCATCGGGAGTGTGTCATTAACTTTCGATGTTACCTGAGATTGAGGAAACAGCTGAGGGGATTTTTTTGGGCGGGAAAGTGTTGCACTGACCGGCACGCGCTCCGACTGGGGCACGAGAACCAGGGACACTTTCTTGCAGCTGGACACACACACACACACACACACACACGCGCGCACACACACATAGACATACATAAGCGCGCGCACAGACACACACACGCGCACACAGACCAGGATGGCGAAAGAGGCACGAGAGAAAGGTAAGATTTTTTTGTTTGTTTGTTTTTGCTGTCTAGACATTCAGAAGCGTTTGACAGAAAGCTTCACGTGCACCGATGCCAGAGACGGTGTTTAATGGCGGTGACTGCTGGAATGCCCCGGTGTGTTTTCCGGGCACTGATGGTGCACAGGGTGACGCACTGACATTTCAGCCAAGCCCGTGTGAGGAGGTGTGTACGAGGCAGCACAAGGCAATTCATCCAGTTCATCTCATCTCAACTCAAACGCTCTCACAGAGGAACATGACACAAAATGTCCATTTGTCTGTGGGATTAAAGACAGAGTGGTGTGTGTAACATAGTGTCGGTGCAACTCTGGACATCTACACAGCACATGTTCTCACATAATGCACATTATCTGGCTTCTGAAAGTTCTCCTGACCTTCATGCAGGATGCAACTCAGAACCATCTTCCACCTTATTCTCTTCCCATAGATTCCTTCATCAACTCTTATTGGACTCGACCTGTGTAACTTTGTCTTAGATGTGATGAACATTTATCATTTCTTCTTTTACACCTCTAACAGTTTTAAAGTGCTCCTGAAATCAACATGTGTGTTTCAGCGGTTTTTATGGACCTGTCTGTTAGTGTTATGGACACCAGTATGATAGTATAGCCATATTCTTGCTTGAATTTTTATAGCTTGTCACTTCCAGGAAAATTATAAAAAAAAGTTTCTATAAATTAAAAAAAAAATTTTGGTTCTTAAGGCAAAGATTCGATATTAGAAGATACCACTGAATCTGCTACGATGTGATACGATTTCGGTTCACAAGACGACAAACTGATATTTTATTGTACCGCTGAATCTGCTACGATACGAGTTTGATACTTAAGTCAACAGTTTGATGTTTGACGGTACCACTTACTCTGCTACGATATGATACGATGCAATTTCGGTTCCTACGGCAAAGATTTGATATATCACGATACCACTGAATCTGCTATGATATGATACGATATGATACGATTTCAGTTCACAAGGCAACGATTCAGTATTTATCGATGCCACTGAATTTTCTTTGATACGAGCCAACAATTTGATACTTGACAATACCACATAATCTGCTACAGTATGATACCATGCAATGCAATTTCAGTTCCTAAGGCAACGATTTGACATTTTACGATACTACTGAATCTGCTAAGATATGGTTTTGATTCTTAAGTCAACGATTCAATATTTGACGATACTACCTCATCTGCTACATTATAATACAATATGGTTAGATTTAATATATACTGTATGTGAACAACTTTGTTCAGAATCTGGGATAGGCGTATCACTAATTTGCAGATGATAATAACGTCAAGAAGGACAGTTTTAAGTATCAGAGTTATGGGCAAATCGCCTTGCTTGAGTATTTACACATCAGCTTATTAATATAACTAATTTTTTACACATGAGTTGTCTGATTGTTTTTTTTTGATAATAATTGATTTATGACTGTTGCCTTGATTCATTTCAGTCGTTGCCTTTTAAATCAATGCATTCCACTATTCTGTATTAGTCTTCTGTTTGTCCAATTAAATGCTCTCTAGAATGTCCCTCCCCTGGGGGCGTGTCTTGCTCTACAGTAGCATGTTATTAGCAGAAAACATGCATTTCGGCTGTGCGTCGTTCCTTTTCGAACCATCCCTTGGTTGGGAAAAATCGGTTGGAGTTTATTGATTTTGAAGATGGTGGAATTTGTGGAAGTTCGTGGTTATGTGACTGGCACTTCTCGTAGGAGTGTTTTATCAACTAGGGACCAATAATTTTGTCTTTATACACTGGAGCTTCTCTATCAGTAAGATTAAGTACTATCATTTTATCTACCATTCAGACATGTCAGTTGTGTCCCAGTGACGACCCTGAGGTTCTCTCATAACATCTGCGCTGTTGATGGTTGATCTCAGCATAAACATTTAGGACATAACCCCAAAAACATCTCAGCACCTTCTGACCAGTCAGCTTCAAGCATTCAACAGAGTGTGTGTTTATCATTTTGACCTTATTTAGACCTGATACTGTAATAAGATACAGATGTGAGACACTATTTGAGGTATGGACATGCATCATGGTTTGTTTGACACTTGGCGGTTTATACGCCAGATCTCTGGGAGAGTTCTTGTAACCAGAAGTGAAGAATAGTGTTGAGGCAGAATTGTCTGAAAGCATATCAGATCATCTCATAGTGGCACATCGGAACATCAAATAACGTGCCCTGTGCTTATCAGATGGGTTTGAATGGTTTTAATTAACTTGCATATCTAGTTTCACTCGAGCCGGCTCATGTATATTCAGACGCAACAGCAAACACGATGTCGGTGTTTTTTTATAGTGTAGATGTTGCTGCTGTAAATGTACTAAAATAATAATCAAAGTAAAATAAAAATTTAAATGGCCAATAGTTATGATGTGTCGATTATTTGAGGAAAATGATTACAGCCTCGGTTATTAATAAGTTATTAATAATAATAATAACACAATCTAACTACTAAACTAAGCACAGGACACACTAAACGAGCTGGAGAAAGTGTGTGTGTGTGTGTGTGTGTGTGTGTGTCTCTGGGCATGTTTTTATATCTTGTTTATATCTTATTTACAAGGACAGGAATATCTGACGGTTTTCACCTTATGGGGTTTTGTCTGGTAAACAGATTTTTTTTTTCAAAACCAAAAAGCAGCTTTTATTTAAAAAAAAAAAATAAAAAATTAAAAGAGCCAAAACATTTCCTTTATTTTACTGAAGTTAAGGTTAAGGTTAGGTGTGGCATAGCACTGATTAGCTAATTATGTCAGTTGATGGTCCTCACAGTGTTGACAAACGTGTGTGTGTGTGTGTGTGTGTGTGGTGAGAAAGTGGAGTGTGCAGGGAGAGCTGTTGCATGTATAACCATATGAGGTACTTTTCCTTGGCTTTTCCTGACTGAAGGAGAGAGATAAAGAGAGAATATGATGGGGCGTTTAAACGGATATTTCACCCGTAATTAGCGTCCGACTCAGTAAGTGCAGCTCCTGACAGAAGTGTAGATTATGGTGATTTCCTGTGGCGACTGGACTGCGTTTTTATTAAAATTGTTGTTGCCGTGTCTGCACTTCTGGGACTTTTCATCATGGTTTGACGTGATTTCCTGAGTTTTAAACATGACTAATCTTGGAATGCAGGCCTGACTGAAGGGCCTTATAAATTGCAAAGTAGCTTGCTGGTCATAAATCTAGCCATAAAAATAGAAATCGTATAAAAAACCGTGAACTTGCGTGAGCTTAACTTTGGCATATGCTCAGTGTTAAATCTAATGAGTCTAAGTTTGATTCGGTTTAACATGCAGATCCAAAAAAAAGCAAATCACGAAAGTGAATCGTTTAGAAGTTTATTCTCTTCTATACAACCTTTGAGGTAGCAGATGGTGAGAGAACAAATAAAGGCTCTCTGCGTATCTATGGATGTCAGTTATTTATGATACACTTGTTAGTGAGGTTAATCATGATAGGACAGCTGGACCATCTGAAGCCTTTGTTCTGTTTTCTAAAAGACGAAGACCTTTGATGGCTCTCTTTCACAAAAACAAATGATTTGATGAAATGGACTGATGACCTAAATGGAGATTACATCTCAAGCCGGCTTTCACACCTATTAAATGATGCTTTTGCTTCGTTTGGTTGGGTTGATTTTCACCCTGACTGAAAAAAAAAAAACAATGGCTGAGGGGTGTGTAGAGCTGAAAACGTCCTCGTAACACTCTTGCTTTTATTGGTCAGAAATACACTGACAGAAAAAGATAATCAAACCTTTTCCGAGTGTGCCTAGAAATCTAAAAAAATCAGCCGAGCACAGAGAACATGGAACTCACACCAAATAAATGATTAGATAATTATATAAATTAACTAGTTTAAAAACATCATGTGTATGCATCCAGTGTTTCTGTTTTTGGTAGCTCAGTGGTTAAGGCATTGGGCGTCTGTTCAGAAGGTCATGAGTTCAAATCCCATCACCACCAAGCTGCCGCGGTTGGGCTCTTGAGCAAGACCCTCCTTGACCCTCTACTGCTCAGTTAGAAGTCACTTTGGATAAAACCATCAGCCAAGTGACATAAATGTAAATATTCATAACACGCTTTAACAGCAACATACCTCTGAACTTTGCCATCTCATGGCTCATGGCTCAGTCTACAAATAAAATATCATCCACGACCCAAAATACACGTCGTCTTGGTTCCCGTTATTTTTAGGTTCAGGGCTTGATAATATTACCAGCTTTTAAATCACTTTCTATTTATAATTATCATTCAAATCTTTCTAAAGTGTTAGATTTGACACTTTGTTGTAGGAATATTTAATCTGTTATTTTTAAGGTCCAAATTTTCATTTTTTTTTTCTCTTTCGGATGAAAACCAGTACCATTTTTGACAGTTTCTGGCTGAAATATTTTGTCCCTAATCCTTAATAAATCTTGTTAATTGATGTGAAGTATGTACAGTACTTGCGTAATGTTAGCTAAGTTGAACACATTGATAGATTTGATTTCACATTAAGGAACTCAAAACGTTCTTCATTTACTTTGACAGAAAGCAAGGACGACCTGCGAGTCCAGTCGAGAGCATGTGAGATGGAGGAAAGGGGGGCGGGGCTTCCAGGCGGCGTCAGTCAATATCGGAGAGGTTAAGACACTTTAGACTAAATCATTTTAGATTCATAAGTCTATTGGCTCATCTCTTGTCTTATTGCGGAGATAAAGATGGCTCTTTTGGTGTATTTTTGAGTGATAACTCACACTAGCGTAAGCCAATGTTACATTATGGAGCTCCTGTGCCAAATGCATAAAAGTTGGCAGGTCTGGTAATGTAAAATAATCAGAGTAAACCTTATGTGAACACAAAATCCTGATCTTTTGCTTGTCATAGATTAGATAAGTATCCACTACATGGGTAAGAAAGTGTAGGGAAAAGGATCAGGTTGAAATTCTTGTGTGTGTGTGTGTGTGTGTGTTTTTATTTTTTTTGTTTTATCATAATTCACAGCGCAGGTGCACGTTATGACTTGTTCCTGCGCCCACGTGTATCTCAGCACACAAGTGCCAGTAATGATATAGCAGCTAAAGCTATACACCTGGCCTTTCTCACCTTATCGCTGTGATCATGAGCAGCTGACAGACCGGCAGCCGAAGCTCATGCTGCTGATTTGTTTATTTTATTGCTACTGCAGTGAAAGACTGTCCTGTTGTCGTTGTTCATAACGCATGCATGTGATGTTGGAAAATAGGGTTACTATTACACTAATATGTGAAAAGATAAGACAGAAAGATCAGATTTTATCCTTATGATGTGAATGCAGCTTTAACTGCATCTCTATCTGTGTTTCAGAGTTTGAGTTTCCTTCTTTCTCTTTCTGTTTCTCTCGCTCAGTTCTCTCGCAGTATGAAACTCCTGTGTGAGCGTGTAATTACCTCAGGATTCATTAATCTGTACAGAAATAGGAAAGAAGGAGGGTCCTGAAGGCATATAGGAAAGCATGCACTATGTTTGCCGCACTTACCGACGCTTTTTTTTTTTTAGCACTGAATAGTGAATAGCTTATGTAAGAAATAGAAGCAGATCTATAAACGCCTTTTTTTCATATACGGTGCCAGTTCTCAGTAAAACGTTTGTCGTGTTCTTTTGATAACCCCCAAGGCTGTTAACCAACAAGCCTAAAATCTCTCAAAAGTACCAACAAAGTGACAATTTATATTGACAAATCTGTAAGGGCTGAGCCCAAAAAGTATCATATCACAATTGATGATTTCAAGACATTTCTAAGATACACAATATATATCAGTAAGGTTGTGTTTAAAAATGAACCTTTAAAAATTATTTTGATGATATTTATATACTTATATACACAGTATATACACAGATCAGCCATAACATTTAAACCACCTGCCTAATATTGTATAGGTCCTCCTTGTGCCACCAGAACAGCTCTGACCCGTCGAGGCATGGACTCCACAAGACCTCTGAAGGTGTGTTGTGGCATCTGACACCAAGACTTTAGCAGCAGATTCTTTAAGTCCTGTAAGTTGTGAGGTGGGGCCTCCATGGATTGGACTTGTTTGTCCATCCCACAGATGCTCGATCGGATTGAGATCTGGGGAATTTGGAGGCCAAGTCAACACCTTGAACTCTTTGTCATGTTCCTCAAACCATTCCTGAACAGTTTTTGCAGTGAGGCAGGGAGCATTATCCTGCTGAAAGAGGCCACTGCCATTAGGGAATACCGTTGCCGTGAAGAGGTGTACCTGGTCTGCAACAATGTTTAGGTAGGTGGTACATGTCAGAGTAACATCCACATGAATGCCAGGACCCGAGATTTCCCAGCAGAACATTGCCCAAAGCATCACACTGCCTCTGCTGGCTTGCCTTCTTCCCACAGTGCATCCTGGTGCCAGCTCTTCCCCAGGTAAGCCATGCTCACGCACCTGGCCATCCACCTGTGCTAAAAGAAAAAGTGAATCATCAGACCAGGCCACCTTCAATGTTATTCACTTCACCTGTGAGCCGTTTATATATATATATATATATAATCATGATGTTGATATATCGCACAGACTCTAATTTCTTGTCTCTTGATGTTTCTTGAAGTTTCAGGCCAGTCGGCACGAGATGAAGTGTATCCAACAAGATAAGTGTAGTACCCTAGTAAAAAGCTCCAATCTGAATGGATCCTGTCAATAGCCAATGAAAATTGAAAGAGTGTTTTAAAAAAAAGCAAAAACAGGAAGTAGTAACAGGGATTCACAGCGACAGCGAAGCTCCTTGATGAGAAACATCGTAAATGAGCTGTGTCATGAGCGTGAGTGTGTGTACAGTGTCATTCTGAAGAACTACTATAACATTTTGCACTTTTCTTTTGTGTGTGTCAGCGCATATGTTGAAGGAAACAACAGCTGGAGAGTTGCAAATGGCACCTTTATGTTGGTTTTGTTATTGCTGTCTCGTAGTAATGCGAAACCAGGCCTAGTTTTCTGCCGTGCTCTTGTAACGCCCCGCCCATGTTTATACGGAGATACGGATATATGGAATGAGAGCAATATGTTTTGGAAAATGTCTTTTTTTTTGTTTTGGGCATGTTAGTGTGTTTCTGCTTTTTGTCTCTCATTAAAGTTAACGCTCTTAACGTTATTCTTGAGCTGGTTGACAAAACTGCTACTATCACTGGGATGGCATGGTCATTGAGCACTTTATTTTTGAAACAATGTTTGTGTGGATTTTTTTTTTTTTAAACAGAGAGGTAAAAGCAATTTTTCTTTTAAAAAAAAATCCAGTCTCTCTATAATCTTTTCTTTATAATCTGCTAAGATTATAAAGTTAATGCAAGACATTGGATTAATTAAGCTAAGAACCCTTTAATCCTTGATGAAACAGTTTGTTAATAGTCGGTTGGCTAACCGTTAACGTTTTTCCTTCTAACAGCAGGGAGAGAGTTCTCAGCGGTTAGCTCCATTAATCTGTGTGCTGGTCAGGCTGATAAATTCACCGTCACATTTTTCTCCAGTCTGCCCACTGTTCCTCCAGAGACGAATCTTCAGTGCCAAAGCCTGTCTGCTACAGGTACATGGCAGATGACAGGTAGATCCAGCAGCACAGATGCACAAGACAAGAGTAAATAACAGAGAGAAAGATCCTTGAGCTTCCATAAGAGGTTATTAATCTGTATTTGGTAACCCTTACAAAAAAAAAAAAGATCCATTTTTATACACAGCCCCGTCGTTCCATGGGGATCAAAATGAATTAAACAAAATGAATATAATATGAAAATTTAGGATGAAAATTCTGTGTAATTTGTTGGCTGATGATCCATAAACATTACCAGATGCTGTTTATCGTCCCTGGCTATATTCTGCCAAGACTTTAATGCAGCTTAATGTGGTGTACTTTTGTTTTCAGAATTGCTCACTGTTCAACCTGTTGTCGGGAGATTGTGAGTTCGAATCCATTTGTGGCCGGGAGACCAAGAGAGCATACTCTCTCCCCCGTCAGTCAGAGTGACACTAGCCAATCAGCTGCGTCTGTGAGCTCACGTATGCGTAAGAGGGCAGATAGCGCTTTCCTCCAAGGGTGTTACGACGCCCCGGATCCGTGGGGTACTTGCTCATTTTTGTTAGTCTGTATTAACGTTGTATTGCTGAACTATCTAACTAGCTGGGAGTAAATGCATTAGCTAAATTTGTAGTCTAGTTAATTAGGTTTTCGGGCGATGACAACATGAGACTGCGTGAGTACACTGGAGCTTTCACTGGAGCGTTTCATTTCCACACTGTCCAAGAGTATAAAGCCAAAACAACAAAAACATGTTCCTGTCTAAATACTTTCACACTGACTGGTGTGAATTTGCCTTATTTTGACTCCAGAATAAGAGTCAGCTAAAGTCCTAAATAGTTTAACTTCTTTGCAGTTAGCAGAACTCGATTGCGTTTTTTTCTTCCATTTATGTCCACCACCAGTGTTTAGTCTGGAGCTGTGGGAGATTATCCAGTGTTAGCACTAAGATTCATACCTCTGAGTCTTGCGCTTGCTCATCTGAAGAGCTCATTTCTATACACACTTTGCTTCCTGTTTCCACTCCAGCTGGCAGACTACACAAGGTGATTTAATGCAGATAACGTGACATGTGACACATGAGATAGAACAGTTTGGAACAGGTACAGGCACTAATGGCTTCACAACCTCAAAAAAAGCAGTGGGAGATGCACTGGAGAGAGCTGAGCGATGCACCGAGTCAGGCTCCACTGGAGAGCGTAAAATCAAGGACGAGGCGATGCTCTTATCAGCGTCATGCCCCTACGCGATGAATTGGGACTCCTTTCCGTTCCAGATGGCAGTGTCGTTTTGCATGACGTTCTACTGAAGGAGAGCAGTGGAGTGGGGAATAAACGAAAACACTTCATACTGAAATCTGTGTGAAACTCTAGCTGCTTGGCAGCGGGCACCTAGTGAGAAGAGAGAGATAGATCAATCAAAATGC